TCTATTAACTCCTGTATACCAGGTGGCTTGTAAAAAGAATAGAGAGAGCAATTAAAAGGATTAGCAAGGCAAAAGTGATAGGTAGGGCATTTGTTTAGCACCACTGAACCTTGAATACACAATGGTTTCTCAGGGTCCCAGGTTGGTTTTGGGCCCCTGACGACATCTCAGAAACAATTAAAAAAATGTATTATCTGTCACGCTTCTATTGAAAGAATCATTGTACCCCTATATTTGCTTGCCAAGAAAAATTGTATAAATGCTCTGCACTCTTAAAAATAAATTACATTCAGATATGCACTCCTAGAAGTTGTGTCTGTCACTCAGCCTCATCCTTGTCCACCCTGCGCCAGAATTGCAACCCCTGAAACTTGTCTCCTGCTCCTGCTGCGCTGGTCCGCGGCACCTTCACTAGCAAAAAGGTTGCCTGGTTCACAGCTCAGATGGTGGTTGGCATTTTTTAGCAATACAGTATTTTTAAACAAATTAGCTAGAAAATCATTTTAGTCACAAGATCGCTAACTCAAAGTAAAACCGAAAATAATCCATCAAAATAAAACCGTGAATTCTGCTACAATTTTGTTTATACTAGGTGAGCCATCTATCATGTTTTAATAACTTAAGGGTTAAAACTTAAGGGTTTATATTTTGGGACTTCAAGCAGTGTCTGAGTGAAATGAAAACTCTAGAGATGGGACTCCCAAGTGGCCTAGAGGTTAATCAAGTGTCAGTGCTATGAGCTCTATGACCTGAGCTCAACTCCCGGCCAGAGATCTAACCCACATGGCACAGCAGATTTCTTTCTTTGCCCTCTGCACCCTTCAGCAGTGTGTTTCAATAAACCTGCCTGTTTGGCTTCCCAATCTCTCTGGTGAATTCTTTCACCACCACCTCCGCCCCCGCATCTCTGCCCTACACCCTAGCTCTTGTATGCATAAATAAATAAAAATAAATAATAAAAAAGTTTATAAGTTATATGAATTTGTGCTGAATTCTTTTGGCATGAACATTTTAAACAATATTTTTATATGGGTTTCATTTTTCCTACCTTCTAGGTATTTAGATATTTTCTCCAATCGGACTGGCATGTGAAAGTAAAAACAAAAATTAGACATGTAAACTTTAATATGTATTAGCTGCTAAAATGAAAACTAAGTAAAATATGCCAACCTGAAGTTAAATCAGAACTTCTGCCACTCTTTTTGTCCTCTACAATTTCATAAAATGGACCTATTACATGTAGCAATTCTTCTACTTTCTCAGTCATAGGCATAGTTTCAAGTATCTGTAATACAAATAACACAATCTGTTAATCTCATCAGTGCTAATCAAATAATTTAATAATTCTAATGTATTAGCCCTCCCTGGTGGCGCAGCAGGTTAAAGCACAGCACTAAGAAGCTAAAGCCACTTCAGCATGAGTTCAATTCTCATCCCAGAGCTGACCCAGATGGCTCGGCAGACCTCTCTTGACCCGCCTGCTGCTCCCCTCAGCATTGTACTTCGTTAGTGGGCCTGTTCTGCTCCCCACTCTGTCTCTGGTGAATCCTCTCACCATCCCTGCACCTCTGGCCTATACCCCAGCTCTGTATGTATAAATAAATAAATCTTAAAAAAAATTCTAATGTATTAATCAATAATCTTGAGATCTGAAATTAATTTATTGGTCCTAATGTGCACATTAACTACATACTTAGGATGTATACTCCCTTAGAAAAGCTTCAATATTAAGTTGTTCTCATCTTGAAGATTATTTTATGTAAGCTTCATATAAAAACACATACAAATAGGGGCCCTGCCTGGCGACACAATGGGTTAAAGTATACCACTGTGAAGCTATCTGCAACCACTGCAGTACAAGTTCAGTCCCCGGCCAGGGAGGTGACCCACATGGTGTGATAGACCTCTCCTGTCACATCTGCACTGCTCCCCTCAGCAGTGTGTTTCAGTCAATCCAACTGTCCTATTCCCGACTCTGTCTCTTGTGAATTCTCTCACCCTTTATACCTCTGGCCTGTACCCTGGTTCTTGTATGCATAAATAAATAAATCTTAAAAAAAAAATATACAAATAGTAAAACATGCATAAAACTAATATTAAATAAAATAGAAAATTGTGAGGTTAAAACAAAATTTTGACATCTGTTCTCTGGTACTAAGGTAGTTTATAAAAGGGCACAAAAGTAGGAAATGGGAACACTTTCAGATACCTTCATAATTATGGGTGAAATCAGAATTATCAAATTTAACATTTACTTTTTTCTGTAACATTTTTACTGAAGTTAACATTAGCTTATAACCCTGCATAAGATCAAGGGAAACAGATTCACACCTCTTCACATATATACAGTATAGGCAGAGATAAAGACCCCACAGACAAACCAACAGAAACCAATATCAGCCTACTGACGTTTAATAAGTAACTAATAAATACCCCGAGATTTTATTTAAAGAATATGTTAATTCAACTGAGTTGTAACTTATCCAAATGAAGAACGTTTTAAAAGAAATATCTGGTGAGCTTCAGATGTATATTATAACACAACACAACACTGAAGCACCCAAAACCCACCACCATGAACCACTGGGCCACCTTGCCCCTCTAGGCTCTTGATTCTGCAATCATATTTCTAGGGTTTATTTTGGTTTAGTTTTGTCTGTTCCTTTGCTTTGTTTCTTTATAGTCTACATGAAAGACATCACTGGTGTTTCTAATTTATTTCATTTAGCATATCCTCTAGTTCCACCCATATGCTGATGATATGACCATTCTATCAATATATACTTACCTTCCACCCCTATTTCATCAACCTTTCTCTTCACCCTCCTCTAGCACAGATGGAATCTGTGTTTACTTGAATGTTGTAGTTTTACCTTGACTTTTAAATTTCTCAGTAGCTACTTTCTATCTTTGCTGAAATAAATCCTCCATTTTTACTCCCCCCCAAACAAAGTAAATAGCTGAAGCTGGGCTCTTGTTGATATCTAGTGTTGTGATGACAAAGAGGGTATTCTTAGATTTCTGGACAGTGACTAGTAATCCCTGTAAAGACCTGATCAAGGCACAGTTTGGACATGGCCTTCTATTCTTCTCGCTCTGGCTCTGATTTGCTTCACTGACTGTTTCTTCACCAATTTCAGCTGCTGTATCACCTGGGCTTGTGTGGTTGCCTGTATGCAATCCTGTTCCACACAGGCTCTGGCCCTGATCATCTCAGGTTCAGGTAGATTCTGTTGCAGATTATGTTTTAGTTTGAGGTGGCAGGAACTCTTGCTCAGTAGCAAGGACAGTTTCTGTGGCTTCACTGGGCATTTTGAGTGCGGAAACAGGAAACCAAATTGAATATATTGCTTAAAGCTATCTAAACCCCAGGGCTCTACTCTCTCTTCAGTAGATAAGCTTAGCATTTAATCACCTAGTTTGCCAAGGGCCTCTGACATTTTGAGGAGTGTCCTATATATAACCCTGAGTATGCTAATGACTAGAAAATTATATTATTATGCACACTAAGTTAAGAAATTTACATTCTGGTTTTTCCATCAGCTTCTGAAAAGATGGTTATCATGAAATAAGCCTTTATCAACCTTCAAACAAAGAAAAATTAAATAACTAAAAAAAAAAATTAATCTTTAGTACCTGAGAAAGCCAATGTCCTGGTCTTATAGTCATGAACAAGACCCTCATCAGCGGTAATATTCTTCATAGCCCCTATTCTAGTCTTCCCTCCATTACAGCAATGATCTCATTTGTTTAGAAATCCTGAAATAATCATTCTGGACAATAATTAATACTGGAGCAACTTACAAGATCCTGTGGTGATTCTAATGTGCAGCCAAAGTTGAATACATTGGTCTTACTACTTTTTTTTTTTTTTTAAAGATTTATTTATTTTTTATATAAGAACTGGGGTACAGGCCAGAGGTGTGAAAGGTGAGAGGATTCACAAGAGACAGAGCAGAGTGGGGAACAGAACAGGCAGATTGATGAAGTACACTGCTGCACTGCTGAGGGGATAGTGTGTGGGTCAGAAGTCTGCTGCCCCATGTAGGTCACCTCCCTGGCTGGGGACTGAACTCATGCTGCAGCTTCATAGTGCTGGACTTTAACCTGCTGCACCACCAGGAAGGGCCCTGTGTACTATAATTTTATAACTAGTTCATTTAGAAAATCATTGCAAGTAGAAAAAGTCCTAAATTCAGTAATTAAATTTGGGGTATATTGTATTACCCCATATGATTATTTAGAAGTATACAATTTTATCTACTGATGTACACAAAGCTAAACCTTAAAAAAAAAATTAAAAGACTAATCAAAATTTCAATCTATGGATATCTTGATTTTTTAGATTTATCTCTAAATGTTTATGTATTTTATTACATTTAATGTACAAAATGGGCATATCAAAGTCTAAATGAAAATAGGTATATTCTTTTAAGTAGAGGAGTATCTACAGAACTCTTTAAGTACAGTGGAGATATTTAAAGACTGCTAAAAGGCACCAGTAGAGTTTTATTCTTTTTTGGGAAAAAAATTTACACCCATTATTTTACCTCGCTTCCCATTTTAAACTCTGACTACATTATGAATGAAATTGGATGGGGAAAAATTGGTAAATTTTACTTAAGGTGTCGATTCAACTTCACATTATAAAAATGTGTTCTAAAAATAATACTTAAGATACAGAAAAAAGAATTGCTGTCAGACCAAAAAGGCTTTATTCTCTTTTTCCCTCTGCTTTTGAAAGACTCCTTTGTTTTTATGTTATTGATATAGTCAGCCAAGAGAACTAAACTCTGCCCTTTATTACAGATAAAGTACACTAAGTAAAAATTGTAGCAAAGGGCAAAACTTTGAGCCATGTAGAAGAAATTAAGATAAACTAAAACAAACACCAAAAAAACTAGTCTGAATCTGTTCAATAAACATTACCCGAGATTAACACAGCCAAACCTACTGCCAACAAAACTACTCCTTCAGCCAGATTTTCTTCATGTTCAAAGATAATTTACTTGAGATAATCAAACAGACCCCAATTTCACAACTTCTGATCCATCTCCAACATAAAAATATCTTTTATAGAAAGGAACTAAGGTTGGGCCCTCCTGAGTGGCACAACCGGTTAAAACACAGCACTGCCAAGATTAGCTGCAGCCGCTTCAGTGGGAGTTCAACCCACATGGCGCAACACGCCTCCCTGTCTCACCCTCTGCTCCCCTCAGCAGTGTATTTGGTCAATCTGCCTGTTCTGGCCTGTTCTGCTCCCCACTCTGTCTTTGGTGAATCCTCTCACTGCCCTGCACCTCTGGCATGTACCCCAGTTCTATATGCATAAATAAACAAATCTTTGGGGGAAAAAAAGGAACTAAGGTTATCTTTAAAAACTATTCATTTCTTTAAACCATGCTCTTCTAAATAATACTTTGAATAGGCTAAAAAGAGCGTGTTAATAAGGAATGTCCTTCTTAGTAGTTACCAGAGGAAGAAAAACATCCTTATCTTATTCTGCTCCTGTAGAATCTTTGCATCCACAAGAAGGTGTTTGTACTAAAAAGTCCATTGATATGAACACATCAATTTGTGAGTCAAAATGCGTAGAAGAACACTATTATAACAAGGCAATCTCATTAAATAGTTCTCAAAACTAAAAAATATCAAAGCAGCCCAGATACTTCCCATACTCCTGATTAAGGAGCATCAATGTTTAAAAAAATTTCCCTACTGGCCTAGAGATTAAGTCTTTACTACCACCATAATGACCTGAGTATAAACCCAGGTAAGGGAGCTAACCTCCTCTCTTATCTGTTGCTCCCCTCTGCAGTGTTATTTCAGTCAATCCACCTGTTCTGCTCCCCACCTTGTCTCTGGTGAATCCTCTCACTGCTCCCCCCACCTCTGGCCTATACCCCAGTTCTTGTATGCATAAATACATGAATCTTAAAAAAAAAAAGACTTAATAAACTCAATAATCTAGATTTTATATTCTAAAATATTACAACTTGCCTGTTTCTTAAAATAATGCAGCTAATTACACATGATGGAACATTAGAGTAGAGCTGCTCTGAATATTTTTATTTTCTACTGTGAATTACATTCCCTACCTTTTTCATTTCTTCAACATATGCAATCATGGCTTCCTCTTTGGTCATATCACCCAATGAACTCCAAGCATCCCTAGAAATGAAAGTGTAAAATTAACCATAAAAAGACACCTGATTCTCCATTGTTCAGAATAAAATTTATAGTTGATGTTGCAGAGTTGTTAATTTACAATAGTTCTACTTAAATTGACATTATGCAATGGCTTGAAGGGAAATACTATAGTGACAAAACTGGCAAATCTAATAGTATTTAACGCTTCTCTTTTTATACATTTTTCTGGAAGCATTTTAACTTTACCAAAGGTGAATTCTGGGGGGAACTCATAAGGTAAATAATTTTTCTTAAAACAGGTTAAATAGCACAGTGCCATTTATTCTTAAGCTACTGGTTTAAGACTTCATAAAGATCTCAGAGAAAAGTACAGTATTAAGAAATCTCCAAAGGAGTTTAAAGCACATTCAATTCTGATGACAAAATGTATACGTCAAAATACTGTGGTTCTTATCACCAGCCCCACTAATTAGCATACTCTATAAAATTGACATTGGTTAGATATTTGTGAAGTCTTCAATGACTCCAAATGTTAGTCAATTATAAAAATTTCAAAGGTATATCCCTAGATACTCTGATTCTTTTAAGCATATTAAAAATAAAATTTCTATTCAACTACAGTGGGACAAGAGTGAATGCTTGCTAAAAAGTTAATACAGCTGCATCTGAGCAATGTTCCTAGTTACATATTACCTTAGTCTCAAAGCAAACAATATCACTTGACAAGCAAGAGCCATTATAAAGAGGCAGAGGAGGAGACTTTAACTTGGTTTGCGAGTTGTTCTTCACATTAAAAAAAAAAAGAAAAAAATACCACAAAAGGAAAATACTAAATTTTTTTTTATCGTACTTACCCTTTTTAGTTTTATCATCTTCCTCTCTGTTCCCCAAGATTTCCCTATTTGTGTGAACTTACATTAAAGGCACACAGAGGATAAATTATATTTAGTACTTAGAACACTTCATGCACAGAATAACACATAACCACATAAATAATAGCAATGTAATTATGTCATTAAAATAAACTTTCTTTCATTGTTTTCTGTATAAAATTACCATTTATATCTTCCAATAGGATCCCAAAATCCAGGCCTTGAAAGTTTACAGGGTCCTTCTGTTGCCTGCTTATAGAAACTATAGAACTTGAGCATCATTTCATTCGTTGGCTGGAATGAACCTATTGGAAACATACATTAAAAAAGGATGACTTGAAAAATACAATTCATCATCTAAGGGTATATAATACACTAACTGTGATTTTTAAAAATTTCATTAATAGTTCAAATAATTATTTATTTCTAATCTTAAGAATAAAAACTATGAATGTTGCTATTTTTTAAATCCTATGATTTTATATTTTAATAACAGTATATAATGGTTCAGGGCCCTCCCTGGTGGTGCAATGGGTTAAAACACAGCACTGCAAAGCTCTCTGAAGGCACTGCAGCATAAGATTCCCAGTGAGGGAGGTGACCCACATAGCGTGGTAGAACTCTCCTGACCAGCCCAACTGCTCCCTTTAGCAGTGTATTTCAGTTAATCTGCCTGTTCTGCTCCCAACTCTGTCACTGATGAATCCTCTCACCACCACCACCATCTTCCACCACCACCTCTGGCAAGCACCCCAATTCTTGCATGCATAAATAAATAAATGAATATTTGAAGAAAACAGTATGTAATGGTTCAAAAATAAAAGCAAATAATTAGCAAACATGCTGTAGGGGAACCAAAATAAACAGGCCATGTGTGTCTGCTCCTTGATCGGGGATTGAATGCTGCAGTGGCTGTGGGAAAGCTTGATATTGCTTAGGCTTAACTCCTTGCCCCACTAGGCCCTGTTCTGTGTCATTTTGTGTTGTTTCTTTAAGCTCTTCTCTTTCATTAGAAATCAATGTCTGGCCCTCCCTGGAGGCTCAACATGTCCAAACACAGCAATATGAAGCTAGCTGCAGCCACTTCAGTGCAAGTTAGATCCTTGGCCAGAGAGGTGATCCACATGGTGCAGCAGACCTCTCCCGTCTTGCCTGATGTTCCCCTCAATAGTGTATATATACTTCGTAGATCTGCCTGTTCTGCTCCCTGCTCTGTCTCTGGTGAATGCTCTCACCGCCCCTGCACCTCTGGCCTTTACCCCAGTTCTGAGCCTTTACCCCAATTTTGAAAGCATACATAAATCTTTAAAAAAAAAAAATCAACGCCTACAGGTATAACAATGAAAATAGTGCCTACAGAAATAAAACATACATCTACGGGTTAGCTTTTCTGAAGATAATTCTAAAAAAGATATATGAAGTCCTTTGGGAATTAAATTCTATTACTCATTTTAAAACATTACAAAAAGCTCTTTTAATTTCAAAGGCCAAGGGCATACCAAACATACTACAAACTACAGGATTCAGTATTATATTAGGTCTCAAAGATTAAGCAACAAAGAACAAAAAATTATACCATCTTACTTTTTTCTTTTTTAAGATTTATTTATACATACAGAACTAGGGGACAGGTCAGAGGCGTGGGGGGCGAAAGGGTTCACCAGAGACAGATTGGGGATTAGAACAGGCACAGATTGACTGAAATACACTGCTGAGCAGAGCAGTGGGCTGGACAGGAGAAGTCTGCCATGCCATATGGGTAACCCCCGTGGCTGGGGATCGAATTTGTGTTGTAGTGGCTGTGAGAGCTTCAAAGTGTTGTGCTTTAGCCCATTATGCCACCAGGGAGGGTCCAAGATCTTACTCTTTACAAAGTACTCTGGGGTAGGCCAAATAACTTCTTTAAAATTATTATAAATATTAAGAATATTTAAGAATATTTATAATAAAATATGTGAATATAATTATAAATGGTTATTAACTATAAAAGTAATTTCCAGTTAATATGACTTTAGTTTTAAAACTTAATAATTAATTATAAAAATGCTTTTCAGCTCATATGACTTTAGTTTCAGGAGCTAGCAGTATATAAGCATTGTCTGGAACAGGTGTCATCTGTCAAGCTGTTTTGATTAATGATACTTTCTTAAATGTTAAGTAATTTCAAACTCTATTTACACCTACACGGGATTCTCAATAAGTTATATATTATATGAACAAAGATAGTTGGCCAGATTATCTTTCAAATTCAGCTTTACCAGTTAGAGATGTGAGGTTCAGGAGAAAGAATGAAGGTACAACTTAATATAAAACTCTTAGAATCATGTCTTCCTATAAACTCCCTAATTGGATATTTTTTAAAATCAATACCAAAGTTCCCATATTACTTATTTGCATTTTATTCATTCACTCTTATCTTTTAATCTCCTATACATCCTTCTCCAATTCAATGTGTTTAAGACTGAAAAGGAACACTATTTTGTGTATATTTGTTTTCAAAACTGTTGGAATCCACTTAATGAATTTTTATTGAATGACACTGAAAATTCATTACTTAGACAAATTGTGATTAAAGAAATATAGAACATGAAATATAGAACGTGATATTAAATGCTACTGCAATAAGCTAATGTTGTATTCAGTTAGTTTTACATGATGGGTCAATATTTGAAAACTTCATTATAAAAGTACACGCTCATAGTGAAAAATAATTCAGACTGCAAAAGGACAGGAAGTGAGTAAAGCCCTCCTCTCCAAACTTCTCTACAGAAAAAAACTGAAGAATGGCATTAAATACTGGTCAACTCCACAGAATTAAAAATTCAAAAAGCTGCAAACCTCTAGCAGGTAAAACAGAAAGAAGACCGTACCTAGGCACATCAGAGTTAAACTGCTAAAAACAGAAGTTAAGTATCTTAAGTTGTGAGATGACACATTAAATGCAAATGAACAAAAACTCGAATTACTCCTTTCTGAAGCTGCAATAAGTTCCAGTGAGACTAGAAAAAGCACACTAGAATACAACAGCACACAACAGAATAGCCACCAAAGTAGTAAATATAAATTATACTTATAAAAATAAATTGTTTTACAAATGAATATTGTCCAAGCAGTTCTTCAATTCGTATCAAAGTTTTCCAAAGGCTCAAGTAGATTGAGTATGCGGCACCAAGCACTTCCATTCCACACTTATTTTTAACATACACAAAACCGCAGTCATTAAGCGACAACACTTTTGTTTTCAACAATAAAAACAACTTAAAACTTGGATAGTATGTCTCCGACTTGAAAGATCACAGGTAATTGAGTCACATTTGACACTTCCCCTTCAATTAAATTCCTTTTAAAGGAAGAAAATAAGTAGGTTAAATAAGCAAGACTAGAACCAGAAAGAAGGTTAAAGGGGACAAGATTCAGAAACTGTGGCTACAAGCCTCAGCACGAGGCATCTATAGCGGGGTCCCAAGTGCACGCCCGTACCATTTTTCGGCAAACTCTGGATCACCTTCACCGCTGCCTCAAACCTGGTTTCATGCACGGATCTTGTGTCTGCCATCTCCAGTCGCCAGCGCCCGCCCAGGTCCCAAGGTCTGTCGGCTGGAATCAGGCAACAGCAGCACCAGCTTTCCCAGGAGCCTGCATGGAACTGGAAAATGGAGCGCAGTCGCGGATCAACATGCCCAAAGGGAGGAGGCCCAGAAGCACAGATGGTCAGTTCCCCGCTGCTCTGCCCTATCCAGGCCACCCAGAAGAGGTGGCCCGGCTGCTTCCTCCTCCCCGGGGCGTGACCAAGGTCGAGAAGCTGGCCAGCGACTACTGAAAAAAACTCACCGTAAGGAAGAGCATCTCTACCAGAAGGTGGAGGGGCTCCGGCCACCGGTGGTCGTCGCGCCGCTCTCCCACCCGCAGGACCCCAACCGAGCGGCCACACCCCCCATCACCGCGGGGTCAGTAGGTCAGTCGGTGCCCTCCCCACAGCCCCGCCCCAGAGCCACCGGAGGACCCACTCGCTGCCGCTGCCACCGCCGTGCGGCAAACTCCACCCACCGCCCTCCGGCCACTGCGTGGACGCGCACTGGCCGTCGGTCCCCTGAGGGGGCCGGAGAAGCAAGGGAAGGAAGAGAAGTGAAATGGGTCGGTGGAGGACTCGGGGCTCGCCTTTTGAACTGGCGAGACAGAAGCGTCCGCGCGGAGGTAACGGGGCAGGCGGACCTCGCCGGGCACGTGGGGTTGGATTCTGCGCCTGGGCCCGAAGCCCGCGCGTCCGAGCCGCTGGCCAAGGAAATAAGAAGCCTTTGAGGTTCCGGCGCCTGCCCTTAGGTTGGGGCGGGGAGCGGCGAGGGGTACGGAAAGGAGTCACGAACAGCGGACTTTGGATCTGGACAGGCGCGGTGCTCACCCTCGGTGCCATTTAAATTCTGTAACCTAGAGCGAGTTACTTAGCCTCTCTCGAAGCAATCTTTACACCATCCCACAGGTAGATAAAAGGACTAGGGATGTTGGAGAGAGATGCTTAGCAGGCCCGCAGGTCTTCGATGGCTGTACCGTCCAGAGCCAAGGACATCGGCGCAACAATTAAGAGAGCGCAAGGTCGCCCGCTACGAGGCAGGGCCGGAGGAGAGAGCGAGCGCACCTTCCCTAGCACCACCCCTGACAGCGAGCAGTAGGGAGCCGAGTTTGGTCCAGGTCCAGCCAGATGGAACAGCGACCAGGCGTGGGGAAGGGGGGTAAAAAGCCAAAGTCATCTACCCTAGAGGGGGGCACCCTGGACTTCACCTTTCTACACAATGCCCTGCGTCCTCAAGCATCTGAGAGGCGACCCTAGGCCCTTCGCGGGGGGACTGATTGGGATTGTGAGGGTGGGGTCCTGTGACCCGGAAATCCCAAAGTCTCCAGGTCGCTTTTGTCAGTTCGGGAGAGGCCAGGGCGGGTCAGTAGTACAAATCTAGGCGAGGACTACAAGTTATTCTTCCCTTGGAGCCGCAGTGCCGGCATTTACCTTGGTATTGCCTGGCAAGGCCTGTCCGGTAATGTCACCGACGCCCGCCCCTCGCCCTGCCCCGCGGACTTGTGGGAAATGTAGTCCCTCCCCTGCGGCGCTTCCGGACACCTCCCTCCGGCGGCGGGTCTTCCTCCCGCCTATTCCGGTTCGGTTTTTCAGTGCGGCTCTGAGATGCGGCGTCCATGGCAGCGTCGCGCTTGCGAGTTCAAAGATGCCACATCGGCTTCCAGCAAAAGGATCACTTTGTGCTGTCTTTCGGGGGCTTCTTGGTGTGACTGGGTTTGAATCGCAGAACTGGAGTCTAATTTCTTGTTCCTGATGCTTTTTAAGATCATGTATGTGAAAGCAGAGAGATACAGGTGACAAAGACTGTCATTTACTGAGTACCTGGTATTTGCCATGCATATGACACATTCTTTAAAACCAACAACGAAAAAAAAAACCCACAAAACTATAGGGTGTTAACGAATTAGGAAATTGAAACTCATTAACTGAATTACTCAAGGTTCCAGAGATTAGGAAATAATCTTGGACTTTTTCCAGGAAACTAAATCGCCCTGGAAAACTTGGTTTCTCGTCAGTGAGGTGCTTGTTACATGAATGTGTTCATTTTGTAAAACTACTGAGCTGCGTAAGATTTCTTTTTGTGTGTGTATGTTAAACTTCAATTAATTAAGAGATTAACAGCTTTTCTAACGACTTTGTGTATTTCATATACTCATTTCTCTACTCATTTTTTGTTTTTTGTTTTAAATCTTTTTTTGCTTCCTCTTTTCTTCCTCTTCTTAATCTACTCCATCATAAATATTTATAAAAGGTTTGGATGTCTATTTCTAATATAAGACTTCATTTTGACAACTGTTTAGTTAGCTAGTATAGTATGAAAGTTTATGGTTTGCTGATCTTTAGATAATGGTGTATAAGAATTGCTTGCAAGTGATTTCTGTTTCTGTTTGTTGAAACTATGGGTTTCTAATCAAAGAGAATAGCATTGGAGAAAGGAAATTACTCCTTTTTATACTTGTGCTGGTTTAGAGGTGGTAATGCCTGTGAGAAGTAAGATAATTCTGATAGATTGAATCAGTTTGCAAGGTGCCCTCCAACTATGGGAACCTGTAATTCTACCTAAAATATATTTCATGGAACATTAGTTAATGTTTTTCAGTACTTTCAGTACAGTGACTAATATGAAACACTTTTAAAAAGGATACATAATTGATGTATATTGACTTCAGGTGTACAAAATACTGATTCAATATTTGTATCTGTTGCAAAGCATTACCATATAAATAAAGCATTCTTGATCATTATTTCTAGGCATGTCTTAAGAGTAGACTCATTTTTACTGATGACGGTAGGGAAGTAAAATATTTTGTTTTAAGAAACAAAGAAATAAGCAATAAAAAAAAACTAAGAAAGGGTTCCTTCACATGCTCTTTCCTTTACAAACATTTCTTAATCTTCTACTGTGCTTCATGTGATGTAATTGATACTGAGGTTACAAAACACCCCAGTTTATTGTGTTAAAAAGATGTGTAATACAATGATTACAGTGTAATGCAAAAATGTTAAAACTGAAGGATATAAAAAGTTCTATGCTGTGTGTATCCTTGAGCATAATTGTATGTAAACAGCACTATTCCATAAGAGTCCTAACCTGGAGACACCTCATTGACCACCAGAGTAGAATAGGTTCATTAAGACTACTGAAGCACAATGAAAACAAATAAACTGCAACTAATCAACTCTATGAATCTCACAGACATGTTGAGAAAAACAATCTAGGTTCCAAAGTCTCATTCTGTTCATACAAAGTTCAAAAATAGGCAAAACCAGCATGTTCAAATTCAAACTAGAGGTAGGGTGTCGGGCATTAAGACAAGGGAATTTTGCAGTTCTGGTAATGTTCTGTTTCTTGTATTAGATTTTTTTTTACATGAACAGGTTTACTTTGTGAAACCTGAACTGTGTTACTAAGATTTTTTTTAGTATATTATACTTCTATTAAAATTTACATTGAAGAAATTTAAGTGCCTTGGGAACAAGAGAGAGTGAGTAATCTGTGTGACCCAGATAAGGAGATGTCACTAAAGCAGTGAAATTGAACTGGTTCTTCTGGAATGGATGGTATTTACATGTGGGAAGGAGCCATTCTAGGGAAAGGTACAAAGCTATATATAACAAAACAGCAAAGAGGTGATAAGCAGCAAGTTTGTGTATGTGATGGTACCCTAGATATGGGGGATGGGAAGGTGGAACTAGGCATTGTATTAAAGGCAATTGAAGCCAACTTCTTTTTCCAGTTTAAGTAAAAATATTGCGAACTCTTCAGATGGTGGCTATGACCTTCCAACCTTGAGGGAGGAACTGGCGCTGTGAGAAATCACACACTGTCCTGACAACAGTGGCCACACAGGGAGGATGCAAATTGCTCCCTTGAAAGTGGGGCAATCTGTTTTTCAGTCCAGAAGAGACTTGAGGTCAAGTTCAGAGGGGGCTATCATATGATACAAAAGAGTAGAGGGTGGGGCTGTGTTGACCCCCATGCTAGCTGACCGAGGCCAACTTGAAAGTCAAATAAGCTATGCAAAATAGTTCTTACTTTGTTTATAAATCCACAGACCATTTTTGTGTCTGCTAGAGTTTGATCAGAAAAGCAGCACCACTATATGAGACTACAGGGAAAGACTTGATGTAACTGTGGGACTGATGAAGGAACTGTGGAAGCCTACTGCCTCTCTGTCTGGAGAAATTACCATAGGTCACCATGTCTTATAGGCAGGAAGTGGTATAAAACGGAAGACAAACTGAAATCCCTGAAATAAACTGGAACCAATGAGGACAAATTGAATCCTGCCTTCTCTCTTATTACCTCTAACCTCAGTGACATGGTTGACCTTTAGGAGAAAATGGTGCTAGGCTGCATGGAGTTGAACTCATGCCTGACTTAAGACTCACGAATGTAGTTCCTGCTGCTGCTTCATACCTTCAGAGCTGCTTCACATCTGCCTGCCAGATCTCACATAAATTCTTTGTTGTGTGTATTATTTTAAATTGTATTATTTTTGTAGAGGTAGCAATGATTCTCATACATTTTTTTTTTTTTTAAGATTTATTTATTTATTTGTGCATACAGAACTGGGGTACAGGCCAGAGGCTCAGGGGCGGTGAGAAGCTTCACCAGAGACAGAGTGGGGAGCAGAACAGGCAGATCTACGAAGTACACTGCTGAGGGAAGCAGCGGGCGGGTCAGGAGAGGTCTGGCTCGCCATGTGGTCTCCTCCGGGCAGGCGGCAGGCGGGAATCGAACTCATGCGGAAGCGGCTTCAGATTCTCAGTGCTGTGCTTTAACCCGCTGCGCCACCAGGGAGGGCCGATTCTCATACATTTTTAAAAAAAGATTAAAAAATTTATTTATGCATACAATAACTGGGATGTAGGCCGCAGGTGCATGGAGGGGGTCTGACTGGAATACACTGTTGAGGGAAGCAGCGGACAACACAGGTGTGGTCTCTTGCTCCATGTGGGTCAGGTCCCACATACATTCTGATTCACATACATTCTTTTTTTAAAAGATTTTATTTATTTATGCATACAGAACTGGGGTACAGACTAGAGGACTCACCTGAGACAGAGTGGGGAGCAGTACAGGCAGGTGGATGTAGTACACTGCTGAGGGGAGCAGCAGGCGAGACAGTAGAGGTCTGCTGTGCCATGTGGGTCACCTCCGGGTTGGGGATCAAACTATGCTGAAGCGGCTTTAGCTTCTTAGTGTTGTGCTTTAACCCACTGCTCCACTAGGAAGGCCCCTCTGTGAATGTTTTTTACAAGTAAAAATTTAACTCCTTGCATTGGGCTGTGGTGATGGCACATGGATGATTTGGTGATGGCACATGGATGATTTGGTGATGGGAAGCCCACGGGGATTACAACTGAGATCGAAAAATGCACAAAATGATGTAAAAATAAGCTATTACATTATTAAAATTTAACTCCTATATTTTTTTGTTGCTTTTTACCCCTTATACTTCATCTTCTGGAAGTTGGTAAATGGATAGGTATAGCAGCTATGTTGTTACAGATGTCAAAAACCAAGGACCAAGGAGGTAAAAAGTGAAAAAGAAGAGGAGCCCGAGCCCTTATTATCATGAACACCTGAGTCAACTTCCATGATTATTGCCAAATCTCCTGATCCAATAAAATATAAATATCTTTTGTGGGGTATTTTGTTGTTTAAAACAAGGTGAAATTTTAACTGAAACAATCTATAAAGGATAATAGATTTTTGTGTATAAGAAATAAGGAACTCTTGCAATTAGAGACAAAGACACAAATCTTATAAAAATGGCTTAAAAAATAATTCACACATAACAGAATAGGCAAAATAAATCCTCATAAGAAATAATGTCAATAACAAGCAGGTAACTACAACTTAAAGCAACACAAAATATCTTTGTATATTTGTAACTTCTGCCAATAGTTCAATATCTGACAATAAAAATTAGCAAAATGAACATGAGGAAATCTTGTATACTTTTACTGAAAGTGGAAATTGGTACATATGCTTCGTGGAGATCAATTTGACATTTTCTACAAACAAATACACATGCCCAATAATCAAACATTTTCCTTTTTTTTTTTTTTTAAAGATTATTTTGCATACAAGAACTGGGATGCAGGCCAAAGGTGTGTGTGTGTGTGTGAGTGAGAGAGAGAGGATTCACCAGAGATAAGAGTGGGGAGCAAAACTGGCAGATTGACTGGAATACTCTGCTGAGGGGACAACCTAAGGGAGAGGTCTGCTGTGCTATATGGACCCCTCCCTAGCCGGGGATCCAACTTGTGCTTCAGTGGCTGGAATAGCTTCATAGTGCTGTGCTTTAAACCCACTGCACCACCAGGGAGGGCCCAATCCCATTTATTTTTTGAATTAACTATTTTATCAGTAACATTGCCTTTTAACATATGTTTCAGGTGTGCGTCACTACCCATTTGGTCAGAAAGAAATAGTGCCTGATTTCAAGTTCATAACTTGTGGAAACTAGGTCTCTCTCTCTCTTTTTTTTTTTTTTTTTTAAGATTTATTTATTTGTACAGAACTGGGGTACAGGCCAGAGATGTGGAGGGTGAGAGGATTCACCAGAGACAGAGTGGGGAGCAGAACAGGCAGATCGATGAAGTACACTGCTGAGGGGAGCAGCGGGCGGGTCAGGAGAGGTCTGCCACGCCATGTGGTCACCTCCAGGGCAGGCGGGGATCGAACTCATGCGGAAGTGGCTTAAGCTTCTTTGTGCTGTGCTTTAAAACCCGCTGCGCCACCAGGGAGGGCCTCTCTTTTTTTTTTAATAATGTGAGGAAGCATATTCAACTCTATTACTTAAAAGCATAAAGGATAACTTATTTGAATGGCCTTCATATGAATCCAAATATTTAAACAGATAATTTTAACTGCTATGCTTCTTGAAAAAGAACACATATGAAAATCAGAGGACTTCACTATTACTATATTCAGTGCTCTTAGCTAATCGTCTAAGTTTAAATTTCTTTATTTGGTAAAAATAAAATATTTAAAATTAAAAATATGTATTTATTTATGCATACAAGAATGGGGTGTAAACCAGAGGTGTGGAGGGGTGAGAGGAGTCACCAGAGACAGTGGGGAGCAGAATAAGCAGATTTGACTGAAATAAGCTGCTAAGGAGAGCAGTGGGCAAGACAGGAGAGGTCTGCTGTGCCTTGTGGCCAGGGCTTGAACTCATGCTGCAGTGGCTGAAGATAGCTGCTAGTGCTGATACTTAATCCCTTGTAACACCAGGGAGGTCCAGAAAGGAATTTTTATATCATTCATCTTAGAATTGTTAGTATTAAAATTTTTTGACAATATTTTTAAAATAATAAAGCTTGGGCTCTCTCTGGTGGTACAACGGGGTAAAGCACTGCATTATGTAGCTCTCCGAAGCCACTGCATTATGAGTTCAATCCACCATCAGGTTGCTGACCCACATGGCACAACAGACCTCTCCTGACCGACTGCTGTTCCCCTCAGCAATGTACTTTGTCAGTCAGCCTGTTCTGCTTCCCTCTGTCTCTGGTGAATCCTCTCAGCCACCACATCTCTGGCCTGTACCCCATTTCTGTATGCATGAATAAATAAATCTTAAAAAAAAAAAAAAGGAAAACAGTAAAGAAGCAAACCACTCTTTCAGTTGCTGGAATACATCAATGATTTGCTAAGTTTAATCAAGATAATTACAAAGAGTAAACCATTTATGATATATGACTCTTAGAACCCCTGATTGGGAATCTGATATTTGACTCTTAGATCCCCTGATTGGGAATCTGGTGATTGGGGCAGTTATTTTCTTTAGTTAGGAAGACTTCAGTTTTCCTTGTAGAAGTTGAACATTTTATGGCTTCCGTTAAGGGCAATATTCAATAAGTACTGGTGAATCAAACCTTTGATTTGGTTGAGTTATGTTATTATTTCTAAAATAATGCTAATATTCTCAATGACTTTATGGAGAAACATAAAAATTGGATTTTACAACTATTGTTATATTAGTTTGCTTTTCAGGATCCTCCCTGGTGGCTCAGTGGGTTAAATTGCAGCACAATGTAGCTATTTACAGCTACTGAAGCATGAGTTAGATCCCCAGCCAGGGAGCTAACCCTCATGGCATGGGAAACCTCTCCACTTACCACTGCTCCCCTCAGCAGTGTACTTCACCAGTCTGCCTCTTCAGCTCCCCACTCTGTCTCTGGTGAATCCCCTCACCCCCACACCTCTGTTCTGTACCTTTGCCCTTGTATGCATAAATAAATAAGTCTTTAAAAAAAATTCGTTTGCTTTTTGACCTTTGGGCAATAATTGTAATAGTCCCTTTTATGAAAAGTACTTAATGTTCTTATTGAAATTATAAACTAAAATCCATAATTAGAAGGGGTGAAAACTAAATAGCTGAGACACAGGTGGACAGGCCTTGTAAAGAAGTTGCTGAAATAACAAAATTATCTCCAAGTGAAATCAGTAACTTCAAAGAAAGTCTTCAAGGTATATGGCATTGCTAAGATTCTCAGTTCTCAGAAGATAAGACTCTAGATAGGGTAAATTGAACCACTTCCCTGTTCTCCTCAATGCATAGACAACATCAAGTAGATCCTTACTGTATAAAAATCCTTGACAACGTAAAATCTTTCCTTACAGACTGTATAAATTTCTCATTGTGAGATTCAGAATTCCGACAGCTTTCCCAGAGTATCTAGAGACTGTTTCCAAAGCTAAGTCTCCAGTCGATTCTTTAATATTGACTTTGGTTGGTTCTGTAATTCTGGTCAATAAAATGAAAAGCTTAAAGTATAAAAATCTTTCAGAGTTTCCCAGAGCAGTTAATAAAAATATTTTGCACAACTTAAAGAATCAACATACACAGAACTCAAAATTGAGAAGAAACTTGGATGGCGTGGTACTAAAAGTCGTGTGTTTATTTTAAAATTGTGAATCTAAATCTTTATCCTCACTCAATTTGTCTCCCAGTGTTTAGTAAGCTGTCTGATCCAGTTGGCAATAATAAATATTAACTAAGTTTTAAGTGAACTGAGAGAGGAAGAACCTTAGAGTAAAGCCATAGTCGCTTTACCTTTAATTACAGGAAGTAAACATTTGAAATTTTCCACAGTCTAGCCCGTTTTAATGCTTATCAGAGTTGATATCTTTGATTCACTGTCATTTCCCTAACTTTCGCCAAGTTTCACTGCCTTCTGGAGGAACCGGTTTTATTCTCTTGGATCACTCTGTGGCGCCATCTCTCGGAGCTATCCACAAACGCCAGACTTAAACCACTTTGCGAGAGTTCCTTACGCTTCTCGTGGTTCTTTTTCCGGAGCTACCTGGACGCATGCGCTGTTGGTGAGCCGCCCAGCCTTGAGAGACTACGATTCCCAGAAGTCCATGCCAAAGGGAAAAAAATATCTCGCGGGGAGGGTCGGGGGGAATGGGAGAACCACGAAGGCTCGCGCGAGAGAACGAGATTGAGCTGGCTGTGCGAAGTGGGTGGAGGTGGGTGGAGGGAGTGAAGAGGAAGGGGAGGAGGTGCCGTCCCACAATACCAGGCGGGAGGGCGGGTAGGAGATTTGTATCCGGGCTGTGAGGTGCTCCGAGGCTCCGCGGATCTTGCTGCCTCTGTCTCTTTAACGCGAGAGGAAGCGATGCAGAGGGGTGGAAAATGGCAGAGCTGCAGATGTTACTAGAGGAGGAGATCCCGTCTGGCAAGAGGGCGCTGATAGAGAGTTACCAGAACCTGACCCGGGTGGCGGACTACTGTGAAAACAACTACATACAGGTGAGGCG